ATACTGTATCTTATATACTCTATCTTATTTGTAAATAAAATATTTTAGGCCAGGCATGGTGGCTCTCGCCTGTAATCCCAGCACTTTGAGAGGCAAAGGCAGGCAGATCATGAGGTCAGGAGATCGAGACCATCCTGGACAACATGATGAAACCCCAACTTTACCAAAAACACAAAATATTAGCTGGGCATGGTGGCGCAACTAATTCTAGTTATTCAGGAGGCTGAGGTAGGAGAATCACTTGAACCAGGGAGCTGGAGGTTGCAATGAGCTGAGACTGCGCCACTGCACTCCAGCCTGGTGACAGAGAGAGACTCCATCTCAAATAATAATAATAATAATAATAATAATAATAATAATAATAATTCCTCCTTCCTTCAATCCAGCCATCCATGATATCAGGATATGCAGAAATGCCCAAGAGTTTTCAGGTTAGCATGGCAGCCCCCCCTTGATGTAAGCAGAGGCTCACAAAGGCAAGATAGTAGAGACATGGTGACTTTTGGTCATCAGAGGGATGGCATTGACAAGTTCTGGTGCCAAAAATAGTTGAGCTGGCAGATGGCTACCAACCTAACACAGGATAACAAGTTTCTTCCTGAGCATAAAGTCTATGACCACCTCCAACCCCACTGTGTTCCCTAATCTGAATAAACTCTTTGTTGAAAATCAATGTACAAACAAGTGCATTCTTCTGAAGATACCACTGTGCACTCACATTCCCCCAAACAGAACATCCTGAGCCCACCTCTGCATGAGATGTATGAGGGGGACTTTCCATAAATACTCCCCAAGAATACATTTTGGGTGGGAAAAGTATTTCCAAAAAGTGAAGCGAGGCATATAAGTTGTTGAAATCTGTATTTCAGTCTAATACTGGCACTATTCTTCATAGTAAAGCTGTAATAAATAATACTACACTATTCAAAAAATCAAATTCAGAAAGGATGCTCTCAAAAAACTGCATTAAAGACTTGCAGAGTTACATATAGAACTCTGTCTAAGAAACCCTCACACACTTAAAATTAGTTTCCTTAGTCCTCCACCAAATTCTTATATTATTCTGTTCAGATTTTTTTTATTGTAGTAACAAATCCATAAAGAAAATTTATTTTTGTTATTATGAGTCTTCTCATTAGGTAAGTAACATTTTTCAGAGGTAGAACATAATTTTCTATTTGAACATTTCCTTTTGTTGTTACTGTTAAACAGTTTTGTGAAACAATGAGCCGTAGTAGCTGTGAGTGACACTCAAGGCATCGCTAATCACGCTATAAAGATATCCCTAGTGATACTTTTAAGATATCCCAACTCAAACTCTAAAACATATTGGATCACATCAAGATATCCCAGAATCACACTTTTAGGATATTCAGAGTCATACAACTACTTTAAATCACAAACACTTAAAATAGAAAATTAGTCACAGCACCAACGAGTCATTTCTGAATTATAAAACTAGTGAGAACAAAGTCCCTAAATGAAACACTGTAGTAAAATCACTGAGATACAGGCTGAGTAACATGGGGAAATCCCGTCTCTACAAAAAATAGTAGAGTTAGCTGGGGGTGGTAGCACACGCCTATGGTCCCAGCTACTTGGGTGGCTGAGGTGGGAAGATTGCTTGAGCCTGGGAGGCAGAAGCTGCAGTGAGCCCAGATCTTACCACTGTACTCCAGCCTGGGTGACTGAAACCCTGTCTAAAAAAAGAAAGAAAGAAACCACTGATATAAATTCTACTCTCCGAAAAACTCTTCAGCCCTAAACAAAATTTAAAAAGCAATCAGAATTTGGGGCATTCCTTCCTTGCTCTATGCCTGGAGAAAATATCTTTACTTAAAAGATTCTGGCAAAACAACTAGGACTCATTCCAAGTGCTTCCTCACACCATTATGTTGCTACCTCCATCTACACAGAAGGGTTTAGGAAGACAATATTCATTTTGATATATTTATGAAATGCCTACTAAATTGCAAGAAACTGTGCTAGGCATTATAAAGAGAAGTAATGATATTCTCACAGCTCAGTGATTTCTTACATGCATATACATTGCAGCATAGAACAACATGTAATAAATATGGTATAAAGTGTCAGAAGAGCTTGGACGCCAGAGTTAACCATCAATTCTGGGGAGATCAGGGAGCCTTTATATAAAATACATCACCTGAGCTATATAAACTAACTGGAGAAAATGAGGGTAGTGAGTTATGGGGTGAGGGTAGTTCATAAAGGTATGGAGGTAAAAGAGAGTATTTGTTGAAGAACAAAGGAAGAGCAGAGTCATGTGGTGAAGCTTAGGATACATGAAGGAGGGCTGGATGCAGTGGCTCATGCCTGTAATCTTGGCACTTTGGGAGGCTGAGGTGGGTGGATCACCTGAGGTCAGGAGTTCAAGACCACCCTGGCCAACATGGGGAAACCACATCTCTAATAAAAATACAAGAATTAGCTTGGGATGGTGGTGTATACCAGTAATCCCATCTACTTGGGATCCTGGGGCAGAAGCATTGCTTGAACCCAGGAGGTGAAGGTTACAGCGGGCCCAGATTGTACTACTGCACTCCAGCCTGGGTGACAGAGCAAGACTCAGTCTCAAAAAAAAAAAAAAAAAGATATACAAAGGAGAGTGGTGGTGAAGGCAAAGCCTACTTAATTTTGGAGAAGAAAATAAGGTGTCCCAATCTCTGGCTTTGGTAGCTCAGATTTCTTTAATTTGGTATGGAATTGCTATCCTGCAGTCTTTTATCAAAGGTAGTGCCACAAACAGAAAGGTGTTTAAGATTAATCTGAGGGTGCAAGGTAAATGAAGAGAGCCCAGGGTTAAAAAAAAAAGCTGTTCCCAATTAAAAAAAAAAAAATGAAGGAAGCCAATACGCACCAAGCACTGATAATATTTCATTTAATTATAGCAAAATACATGGTATCTTATTTAATCCTATTAATTCAGCTATAATACATTTTCATAGATAAGAAAACTGCAGCAATTCAACAACGGTTGGTGGAGCAGAAACACAAAGCTGACTGACGGAAAATTACTCAGATTTAGAGAACTGAGGAGACAAACATGCCAGAAGAGGAAGGGAAAAATCTATGGTCTTTGTGAGTACAAATGTAGAAGTGACTGATACAGAATCTACCAGGTATAAATAAAAAATAGACATGAAGAAAATTTAGACATTAAAATCCAGCATCCTATAGAACAGTCATAAATTAGACTCAAGGCAGATGAAGAACAAATCCAGTTAAAGTGGATAAGCTAGATGTTTAAAAAGGTTGTATTCAAATAAGGAAACCTAAGATCTCAGAAATAGAACAGTTTTAAAGTAACGAGATTCCACCATTCTCTGGTGGAAATAGGGAAGTTGACCATGGACCTCTGTTTCCACAGTTGAGAAAACAGAAGAAAAATTAACTCAGGGTGGCATGTGAAAAGTCTAAAATAATGATGATGGGTGAGAGGATGAAGAGAAAAACCATGCTTCTGGTATTAAAGTCACTAAGGTTTAAAAAAAAAAAAAAGCTGAAGAACTCAGAGACTCACTGATAGCAAACAGAGAATAAGGCAATACAAACAGATGACTGGTACATCCCCAAGAAGACATTTTGAGGAGTATTTGTGATGAAACCAGTGTCACCTGTAATCCTAAAGAACTAGAAAAAATGCTTTTTTTTTTTTAACTTACTTCGAATTCAGGAAAAATAAAAATTAAAAAAGGAATTGCCTTTATTACCCCTAGCCAGATCCATTATCCTTTTAAAACCAGAGTAATATTATTTCAAGAATTGATGATGATGGCCACTGGCTCTAACTTTCAAGATGTCTTCCTCAGCCAAACGAGGTCATTCACAGCTGCAGGTAGGAGCCTAACACTGACACGGGTTTTTCAGTCTCACAAATAGGGCTCAATGTGTGATCTCCAAAATTTGACTTTCAATACAAAATAAATGGCAAAATGCAACTTCCTCAAATTTAATCAGAGTTAAATAATACTATATTATTTGCTAAAGTTGAACTATTTTGTCTTCATCTACTTTCAATAATCTGTAAAGTTACACATGATTTTCATGATAAATCTTAAAATTATCTTGAATAAGTTTCTCTAGACAAAACCAGATTGTAAGAATGTAATATCCAATATATGCTTTTCCTTATATACAACACACACACACACACACACACACACACTCTGCAAAGGTCAAAACAGCCTAAATTTCTAAAACAGGATTCCTGATAACAAATAGGCAGTTGAAGGTGAAAGAACAAGACCAAGTCTATAGTTCATGTAACTTTCCACTTCAAAGTGAAATGGAAAATTACACTTGGCTTTGTTCCATTTTTCCAATTTTCACAAAAGTATTTAAACATATCAGTCTTCTAAATCACATCTTTCCTTTTCGCTGGGATAAAGTTTGATTTTTACTTTTCTACTTAACTCACCCAGATTTTAAATAAATTAATTAAATTATTCAATAAAATAAAAAAACCCTGCCAATTAATTTATAGACAGATTTAACTGTTTTGATAAATAAGAAAGTATTACATTTTTAGAGTAATTAGTAACTTCTGGAAACTCAAATTTAAAGAAGCAGCTTAAAGTGGGAAGAACAATTTGTAAAAAAAAAAAAAAAAAAAAAGGGAATTTCCTAGGGGTCACTGGGCTTGTTTTGTTAGTTTGGTTTACAAAATCAATATAATCGATGGCCATTCCTTCAGGAAAGGCTTGTTTTTAAAAACTTGTGAAATAACTAATAAAATATGAAATCGTTCCGAATTTCAAGTCATTTAATTGGGCTTGTGGAATTTATGGCACTGACAATAAAACATTGGTAGAAAAATTTTACCACCATTTTAGCACTCTTTTTTTTTTTTAACAGGTAACTAAAACAGAGTGATAAATGGAGTGTTTTGTCAAAGAACAAACATCAAGATGTATATCACAGAGGCTTTCAGTGGTGGAATAAGAAAGGGAGGTCCTGATATTTCATTCACTCCAGCATACCTGCCATGAACAGTAGTAGATTTGATAATATCCCCAGGTAGAACCACTGAGAGTTCAATGTCTTTATCTATCATGTTTTCCTTCTGTTCCATGATGAAAGTGGTGGATTCTACAGAATCAGCAGCTGAAGAGACATCAACGTATTTGGTCTCAGCTGGAGGAAGGGGTGCCTTGGCTTTTGGTTTTCTCCTAAAATATAAAGAAAACACAAAATATACTTTATTTTTAAAGTAAACTTTTAATATGATCTAATTTTATAAACTCCAAAATGTATATATGTATCCAGTTTTCACATCTAGAAAAAAATGTTCAAAAATGTTAACTGTTAGTGTTGGATGGTGGAATTCGGAATTTTTTCCTTTACCAGTCAGCATTTTGTTTTGAATACAATGCCTACATTTCCTCGAAATAAAAAGAAACATGATAAATAAATTTTATATTTACTGTGTGTTCATTATAGCAAGCCAAGAGAATTTAATTTCTTTGATGAGATAAATTATAAAAATCCTTACAGTTTCAGGATAGAGATCAGTATTTCATTCTCTCATTTCATAATAACTCTTACCTTTGGGCCTTTCACCGTGTTTGTTTCTGATCTAGTATGTTCTGCCTCTTTATTCAGAAAAATCCTACCTTATCCTTCAAAGGTTAGCTAAATCCACCCCACTTGCCCCAAACTATCCCTTCACAAAATTTCTTCCTTCTTTAAATTGATATATCACATACAACCAATTCCATAGATGTAACTTTTTAAATATTTTTTTCTGGGCACCAGTTTCATATCTCTACATACATTTATAACTCCCTGCAAAAAAAAAGAAGCATAAAGCATGCTAGCCAGGTGTGGTGGCACACAGCTGAGATCCCGGCTACTCAGCAGACTGAAGTGGGAGGATCCACTGAGTCTAGGAGTTTGAGTCCAGCCTGGGCAACATGGTGAGACCCTATCTCAAAGAAAGCAAGCAAGAACGAAGCATGCTATGGATGGCTGTATTTCCCACTATACCTAGCAATGAATTATGATGGGTTGTTTGAGAAATGTCTACTTCAATGAAAAATATTACAAATAATTTTCTAATAAATATTTTTGCATCATCAAGATAACCTCTTACCTAACATATCAGAAATAGGAGACATTCTGAACTTACATAGGCCAATTCAATGATTTGATGGGTTGAAAAAAAATAAAATGTGAAAATAAACTATAAGTAATGACAAATTTATGTTTTTATTTAAAACACTGTCAAATTTTTTAAAAATATTATTTTATAAAAGGCTAATTGGTTTTAGAAGAATGAATACTAATTCTTTCTACTCGGAAATATATAGATTTAAATTCCTCCTGTTTTTCTTTGCTAGGGAAACATAGGAACCAAACAAGATCAAAAGGCATCTTTATAAGTTAATATGTAACATCCACCCGCTCGGTATTTTCAAAATTTAAGGTCTCATAACTCCAACTCCTTTAACATATGACTCATCATGAAAAAAAGCAAGATTCCTTGCTTCATTGTACACTATAAATTCATTTACTAAAATAACAAGCCCTTGACTCTTAGTGGTATAATAATAGAAATACATTGTACTTCAGAAAAGACTTATTTTACAAGAGCAACAAAACTACATTTTAAAAACTGCTATAATGAATGAAAGCTAATAAAACTCTGTGTAAAGAAAAATGCCCCCCAATGTCAAATTTCAATTTTTAAATCTTCAGAAGTTGACCACTCATGTATAACAAATATTTATTTTGGAAAGGTAAAGATGAGCAAGACTCAGTTCCTATTCCTGAGGGTTCGTAACCCCAAAGGATTGACAAGCAGGCAAAATATCGTCAAATTTGATGGCTGCTCTAACACAGGTATGCAGATATTGCAGCTTTGGGTCACAGGAATAAAGTGTAACTTTCCTAGGAATCCAGAAATGTTTTGCAGATGGGAAACATGAGCTGGGCTTTGAGGAATGTGTAGAAACACAGAGCAAAGGCAAGAAATAACTGATATTTCAGGCAGAGGAAAGTGAATACAGCCATAAAAGAAAATGGTACTTTTTAGAACTCAATGGTTTGATAAAGTTGCACAGAGCAGTCAAAGAGATGAGAAATCAGTGAATCAGCTGAAATATTTTATAAGTAAGATAATTCAGTAAGGTGGGTTGCTACAAAGTTCATATCCTACAGTGTCAGTAGCCTACATAAATATCAGCAAAAACTAGTCAGAAAGTACAAGGAAAGAAAAGGTTCCTTTGGTATTAGCAACAAAAATGAATTTTAAAAAGACTCTCCAGGTATTTCCATCTTAACCGATCACATTTCTTTCATTTGTCCAGGTCAAATCTTGGTTCTCACAAACATTTATCCAATCCACCTACAAATTCCATCAGCTTTTTACCATAAATAGACCCAGAATCCACCAGTAACATGGATCACCGAACACCTCTGCTCAAGCTGCCAACTGATATCCCTGCTCCTAAACTTGTCACTTCGTAATCTAATCTCAACATAGCAACCAGAGTGATCTTCTTAAAATACAAATTAGAAGACTAAACTTTCAGGATCATTTCTACAGTTCATTGCCACACAGTTTCTCTGAATGTGTTGATAAATAGGTAAATAAAATAATGAAATAAAATACAAGTCAGATCACTGCCTCACTTCCCACATTCTCCAAAGATTTCCTACTTCAACCAGAAAAAGATCTAGAGTGCTATACAAATGTTCCTCTACTTATGATGGGGTTACAACCACATAAATCCACCTGAAATTGAAAATATAAGTCAAAAATACACCAAATACCCCCAATAAACCAATCATAGAATCAGAAAAATCATAATTCAACCATCATAACTCCAGATGTCCCTCAATTTATGATAAGGTTACATGTTGATAAACCCACAGTAAAGTAGAAAAATCATACATCCAACCATGACGAGCAGGGGACCAACTGTAATAGGTCCTTCCTTCCTCCCTTACCTCCAGCCTCTCTAGTCTCTCACCTAAGACTCTCTCCCTAGGCTCACTGCATCCAGTCTCAGGCTTCGTGCCTTTTCCTTGAGCACATCTAGAATGCAAGGCCCTCTACAGAATCTGCTCCTGACCTTAACACCCTCATCTCTCTGCTTTACTTTTGGCCACAGGGTTAATGAGCAACATACTTATCATGTCTCCTTCCATTAAAGGGTAATGAATTCCATGAGAGTAGGGACCTGTCTCCACCACCTTGTCCACACATTTACAAATGCACAGAATTTCTGCGACCATGCCTGCTGCGTAGTAGGCACTGATATTTGCTGAAAGAGTGAATTCAATGACTACTTTCCACAGAAGATGTACTATCTAAGCCTAAAATTGGGAAGGAAAAGAGTCCTTACCACTACAGAATAAAATGAGCTTTTATATCAGGATTGTCTGGGATAAAAAAAAAAACTGATTATGTCTTATTTTTTATAAGACGAATGAAAAAATACACACTGGTTTTATTAGCAAGGGATAACTGAGAACTTGGCAATTCTGGGGAAGTGTCCCTGTCTACTGCACTCACTGCACACGGCAATGAACTCTGACTCACAGTTGTGATGTCTATGTGTGTGACGGTTTTACTTCCTTAGGTAGTTTGAGTCTGTGATGAAAATCCATCTCTAAGCACTATACATAAGGCAATTTCTTTTAAGACAGGGAAAGTAGGACAAAGCACTAGTTGAAAAACCATTCACACAGAAATTTTCTTTGAGACAGGGACTGGCTCTGTTGCCCAGACTGGAGTGCAGTGGCAGATCTCAGCTCAGTGCAGCCTCTACCTCCCAGGTTCAAGCAATTCTCATGCCTCAGCCTCCTGGGTAGCTGGGACTACAGGCACATGCCCAGCTAACTTTTGTATTTTTACTAGAGATGGGGTTTTGCCATGTTGGCCAGGCTGGTCTCGAACTCCTGAGCTCAAGCAATCCTCTTACCTCAGCCTCCCAAAGTGCTGGGATTACAGGCATGAGCCACAGCACCCGGCCATTTACACAATATTTCTAGGAAAAATATCCTAATATCCACAGTTGTTACACAATTTAATCATATATTTGTTACTTTTGTTTCTGAAAAATGGAAAGGAATGTTAATAAGATCAAGATATTTCCACAATGAATGAGCAATACACCTGAGAAGATGCTACGTGTAATTAAATAACAAATGCAAAAGGAAAAAGAAGGGTCATCAAACAGATGGTAACTTTGAAAACTTAGGTCAACAAAAAGCAGCTGAGCCCAGCTGTGTGGAGTGGGGAGCAGGATCAAGGTATGCTTCAAAGAGACAAGAGACAAGAGACTCAGGTCTTGAAAGAAAAGTAGAATTTAGATAAGAGCCTGTAGGATCAATTATATGTTAGTTCCCAATCGTGCTCCATACACATTTAATTTATGAATGTGTTTATCTAGCTTGCTTACTACATAGTCCAGTCTAGTGAAAAGAATACCAGGTGGAAGTCTGGATTTGGCCTGATTCCTAAGTAGCTTTAAGACTTTAACTTATCTGACCTTTTAGTCACCAGCAAAATTTTGAAAATATCGTTACCTACTCACAACTCTCCTAATACTATTTTTTTGGTCAGAGACTCTGATGTAATAACAAAATTGTCAACCAAAGTTAAAAGTACAGTGAAAATAACCAAATGTGTATTATAACCTAAATATAGGAAATTCTAATAATAAAAAATAAAGAGAAAAAAGTAACATTAACATTCAACAGCAACTATACTTAAGAATATTATGTTTTAAAAAAATATTTAAATATTTAAAAATCATAGTAACTGCCATTGAAGCCTCCTCACCCCTTTTAAACAGGAATGTCTGAGCCAGTTTTCCTATCAAATAGATTTTCACATACACTTTTTTCACCAGTGGCCTTGTTTGACTATTAGTGTCTACTTTTTAGAGGCTTTTACCATTAACAGTAAACAATAGCAAATTTCACATAAGGGTGAGTGGAGAGGAGGTTATACTGGAAAGATATTTATAATAAGAACACTCCCCACATCAGGGCAAACATTCATTATTCAAGCTTAAAAATAACAAGCTACTAAGTTATTGTTTGTGTAAATCATTGCTTTATTATAATTATCTCAATATTATACTCAATATTAATGATGAAAATTAAGGCAAATTTTGCATTATTCAATAATATATTTTGAAAATATCAGAACTTCCCT